TGTTTCATAAATACGTGTACTTCTAAAAAACTTAAGATGACGTATAAACACATTATTTACCAAAAACGTCAAACAATGTTGTAAATTAATTTGTAATCCAACTGTAATCACATACTGTTTCTGCAGTGAGGCAAGTGTCATGAAATGACAATATAATAGTCACGCAACCAGTCAGTTTCAATTTACAAAAGCTACTGATATAAATTGAACGATTTTGCAATCTGTTTGGGGTGCAGTAACATAAACGAAGTAGAACACTCAGTGACAGTGGTGCAGAATCAACAAGCAATGGGTTACGTGCGATATGGTAATCAATTTACGATGGGTCGAGCTTTAGTGGCGTTAACTGGCGACACGGCTGCGTCACCATGGAAACCTCACGTTCAGAGGTGGGCAATAGCCTCACGTACTTCCCGTTCACACGAAGAAGGGCCTTTGCATGAAGCAATTGATGCCAGCGAATGCGATTTTTTTTTGCTATTCGTTTAAAAATAAATTGAGCTATTGAAAAGAACAAATCACATTTAATTAATTCTGAAGTGTTATTTCGAATGTAAATAAAGACGTAATTGAGGGTGTATGTTCAATTACTTACATGAAATTACTATTAATTGGGGGAAAGAAAAACATTGTAATTACAGTGTATTGTTTATTTTATCAAATGTGCGAGGAAAATTGTTAACTCATTTTATAGATACGAGTCAAATTAAAGTGAATTTAATATATCAATATTGCTTTAAATTAATTAACAAAAAAGAAATATAATTGTGTTCATTACAGACTACTGAAACATGAAACGGAAGACAGAGATTTCAGGGAATTACTTTTCGATAAATTTCATTTACATTCTAAAGTTTAAGAGTATAGAAATCAGCAGTTATTAGAAATTAATAGTTTAAAAAGCATTGATTAAAGTAGTGTATCTTTTATTTTGTCTCAAAATTAAAATAGTTTAATTTTTTCAGGTCTTAAAAATGGAATTTGTGAAGCGACGAAAACATACTGCGTTTGAGAAACAACAACACAACATGTAAAAGAAGTTGAATACATATGGAGTACCGGTTTCTCATAAAATCTGAATGAGAATTACTTAAACTATTATGAAACAATATAGAGAAAAAAAGAGAAACTAAATTACATTTCAAAAATATTTTGAAAAATATACTACAAGGAAATATATGATTCTATAAAGAGCTGTTTAAATAATTAACTTGTGAAAGGCCAGTATCAAATATTTTTGTCGTTTGTTCATTGATGGTAGTTTGATTTGTTTGAAAGTTTGACTTACATCACTTAGAATTTCCTTCGTTAGCGGATATTTGCAAAATAAATAAAGTACGTAGCTATTGCGCTTCTTCTGTGTTTTCAGGACTGAGTAAATCAAAATAAAATCGTCCAAAATCAGAAAACAAACTTTCATACACGGAATTCTTTTAGATACTGCCATCCTGTATCTGGACATTGGCCACAAATAAAAATGAAATTTACTAAGCCCTTTGGCCATGCTATTTATCATGTGTTTAATTACGGTAATTCAAAGACTAATTAATATGAATTTTATTTTTCCACTTAATATGTAAAATCGAGTGATTTAATGCATGCAACAGCAATCACAGCGTTGATGGAATGCGGGTCACATGAACACGGGAGACGCGTCCGTCAGAAGAGGCCGTGAATAAGGTCACTGAATTTGGTAAAGCAGACGTATATTAACTAATGATGGTTGTGTTTCTCTTCATTAGCATGTTTGTTTGGATTAAAGCAAAATGAATTTTTAATGCGATGATTTTTTAGTAACAACATACCTTCTCCCGCATTCGCGAGCAGAAAATTACCGCTCGTGTATCGATCGGTTCAAAACTGTACGACGCGTGAAAGGCGTTGGATATGCAGAGGACCGAAATTTATCTACATTGTGAATTTGAGTAAATCTATGTTTGGTTTTTAAGAGTATTTCTTTTTATAAAGTAATAAGAAGTATTCTCTTATCTACTAAGTGTAATACTTAATCTACCAAGAGTAATAAGAACCATCAGACCATTAATGAATCTTCAAGTTCAGCAGAGAAAGGAGTTTATTTTCTTTCTAAAAAACATTTCCATGAATGGGCATTGCTTAAAACCATTATAAATACTTGGATCATCAACTCTTATGAGGACTTTCACTTGAGATGAGAAGTATTTTACTCTGAGCGTACGCGAGGGTGCTTTGACTTCATGTCCTTCTGTTTTCTGAACAAGAGATCACCGTTGAAATCATTTCTTAAAACTAGAGTACCCTGTGTTCTCGACATTTTTCAGGTGTCATGGGAATAATGTATTTAACACATAATCGGAAATTATTACTGTTTTTCTTATCAAAATGGTACATACTACGCCAGAAAATTATTGAAATTTTATGCAGCTGTTATGACTCGGCATCTTTATATAAGGTAATTACAACTGTATATTTTTTTATCGTTGTTCACTGTCAGTAAAGCAAAATCACAGAAAATCCAAAGGAAACACAAATGTCATAGATCGCCAATACAATTGTGCAATTCACACTATAAGGCAAACAAATTAGACAGTAAGGGAATGCTTAGTTATGAGAATAGGGTTCCACACCCTAAAGCTATAGGGTACGATTGCAAGCAAGCCAATAAAACCGCAAGCAAGCAAATAGAACGGCAAGCAAGGAAGCCAATAAGACGGCCAACAAGCCAGAAAGACGGCACACAATCCAGCACGGAAACCAAGGCAACGACACGGAAGCCGGAAAGATGCCTTTGCAATAAGTCAGCGAGATAGCCGTGCGGCAGGTCCATGGTGCGAGCCAAGAAGTCGGGGAAATGTGCAGCGAAATTCAATTCAAGTGGGCAGAAAGGCAAAGTGCACATGGGGGGGGGAGAGGGGCGCTCGCCACCCACTGCCAGTTGGCCGACGAGTAGGTGGCCTTGGGCAGGGGCAGCGCGCGGGCAGCTTGAAGCGCTGCGTCAGGATGGAAGTAGCCGGGGCATGCGGCGCAGGTCGGCGACTTGTGGTTGTAGGCGTTGGGCGCCCACCCGCCCTGCCCCCATTGCGCGATGTCCACGCGGCCCTGGCCAACAACGCATCAACATCATCATCGTCATTATCTCCTCACTGGCTGAATTGGGCTCAGAGCCAACATTGCCGCTGTATCTGGCAGCGTTTCATTGCAGGGGGGGGGGCAGACGGTCGCTAGGCCTGAGGTTCTTAGTAGAGGAGGTAACGCCCACTCGGACCCGAGTTACTCGGCTGTACTCATGTCGTTAGTTTCAAGGAGGAGGCAATGAGGAGGTGGTTCGCCACCGGCCTTTGAGCAGGATTGGGCGCGAAATCTGTTAGTCGGCATCCTCTAGGCAGTAGGCGACTGATCCCCAACCCCCATACAAACGTTTGGAGGGAAGCATGGAGCATGTCTAGGTTCCGGCGGTACTCACGTCGACAGCTTCAAGGTAGAGGAAGTGAGGAGAGGAGTTAAGGGCAACGAGCTTCCTGAACCTTGGTCCAGGCTGCCCTCAAATGGGTTCTCGGTTTCGTCGTGTCAAAGCCCGATATTCACTGGTAATTGAGCGGGGATTCGAGTAGACGTATTGTGAGTGACGCTTAATTCCATCCTGGTGCTAGCCTCGAAAGCTAGAAGCTTTGAGTTGGCAATGGCCCCACCCAGGCTCAATTGGCGAGGTTCTAAGGGCAAACTGCGTTCCGGCGGGATTCGAATGCCAGGGTCAAAGAGCCTTGCTGCCCAGCCCGCGGAGCAATCCTACGGGTAGACAAGAAAGTGTGAAGTGGTAAAGCATGCATAATTCACGTTTATGCAACCAACTCTAGCAGGGAGTTCCTGGGCGTTGGTGGCGATTTTTGACACTGGCTACAATGAGTTCGAATTCAGACGCTGTTTGAAGGAGAACTCGTAGCGGCCGCTTCTCTAATCGGTAATTTATCATATTAATACCAGGCGAATGCCGGAGTAGTACCCTAACAAACGAGCCACAGGCTGCGCTCAATATCTCCTTCCTCTTCCTTGTCCTATCCTCTTCCCTTATACACACACACACTTCATTCGCTTCAGTCCACTACCACACCTATGGATCGCGGAATACTTCGTACAATGTTCTCACGCACAAATATGATTACAATAACATTTATTCACAATCAATTCACCAACTTCGGTTAAAGAGAAATGCATGCACTTTACGTAGGCGATTCCACTCGTGAAATTGAAGTCAATAGTGCTTAAATAAACAAACAAAGTGCCCCAATCTCAAAAAGTACCTAAAAAGTTTATCGCTTTTCCTATCCGATTTTTCTTACTGATTCTCGCTACTAGCCAATCATAAACTGTGACTCGTCCTTCTTAGGAGGTGGTATACATCGATCGCTATGTCGATGTCCGATAAACCGCGAATGTACTACTGTAACATAACCTCTTTGATTTGAACATAGATTTAAGTTATTTTCAATTGTTGGCGCATATAGGAACTCTGTTGGACATAATTTCAATTTGTGGAGGAGCCCTAGTAAATACCTCTCGTGCTTTGAAAATTCTCAATTAAATACCCTCCTCTCTTCACGAGTCGGGGATTTATCGACAATTTCTAAAGCACTCGTGGTCTTACCGATGTTTTTGGCTTGAAAGTTTGGTTGTCTGTAGATTGGCCAACCGGTAGGGTTTTTCCACACAGAGGGAGCGAAAACTATACTGGTAGTAAGTGGCCATTATATGTATGCAAGTACGGAATTCTGCCGACACACTTTCGTTTAACAAACACTTTGCATCTTCAGTTCATGGCTCGGGAAACAGAAACAGTTTGCAACTGGCATTTTAAAATGTCATGAACAGTAGTGCTAATTCTAAAACTGCCTTACATAGGATTTTAGTTTGCATAAAGGCAATAAAAGTTTACGTGCCTCACAGATCACGTGTGCCACCAACAGAGAATGCTTCGATTCTGATTCTAGGTAAATATTGCTGCAATGAAAATGTTTTAGGGAATTCTAGAAAGTGGGGACAGATTTTTCAATTGAATTAACGGGTTCTATAGCAACTGATTTGGAGTTGTTTCGCTTGACTGGACTTTGGCGCGGCCGCTCAGCGCCGTAGCCGACGATTTCTGAGAATTGCGCGCGCAAGTCGCACTCGTGCCCTTCTAGTCCCGTCGCTGCCCAGGGCTGCCAAGACGCCCAGAGAAATGCCCGCTTCTAGCTTCGGTAGGCAGCACACGGCTTGTGGCTAGGAATGAAATCATAGCGTAATGTATGAAGCAAGCGCTGAGGTGCCCTTGCAAGAAATACAGAAGTGCTCAAATTACAGTTTGTGCGCGTGTGACACTTCGGCGCAGTCCTTACAGTGATTCTATATTGTTTGGGTTTTTGGGCGCTTCAAGTGCTATGGGCATTTCTCCCACGTGTGTAGTACATGTTTTATCACGTAAGGCTGCTGGGTTCTCTCCCCACTGGAATGTGAGTTCCGGATTCAACTTTCACGCCCGCTTGAGAAGTTTTCCCTACCTAGGTATCTCCCGCCAGCGAGTCACCGCCGCCGCCGGGACAAGCTCTGTTCTCTCAACATGTGAGGCAGTGTAGAGCATGTAAGTGTGTGGAAGTAAGAGATGAGAATAGGGCAAGCAAGAGGAAAGAAAGATCGCGCGCGGTCCGTGGCTCTGTGTTAATGTACTGCTCCGGCATTTGACCTTGTATTGAACAAAAAAAAAGCACGGAAAACTGCCTATCTGTGCAATTAGTCGCTAGAACCAACGTATGAAACTAGTGACGAATATCCTGCCACCGTCGGGACTCGAACCCTAGGACCTACTGTTCAGAGGCCCTGCAGCGACACCAGTTGATGCCTTGATCCCTCTCAGCCGGATTCAGTCCTTAGTCACATGGACGTTACATGGATGACATCCGTTTGGGAAAGGGAGGAAAGGAATGCTTGTTTTATAAGTTATGCATGAGGTTAGGAAAATCTCCAATCATGCCACGTCACACAAGCAAACTTCCACGCTCTAGAAGAGATTCGACACTTCTAGCAATGTTGGCTCCCCAGATCATCCCCTGCGGATTATTTCTGATCTGCCCATAGTATACAAGTATAAGATAGGAACAATTATAACTAACGTCATTAGGCCGATAATAAGTAAATAACGGCCACGTTCGTTATTTTGTTTCCGGCAGTGTCAACTGCACCTTTTTCCGTAACTGTATATCATGGTTATCTCCGGAGGCAGCACTGTTCCTCCCCTGCTTCAGCGTGACACGCAGCGCGAACCTACACGAACCTCCTCTCCAGGTATCTCCTCCAGTAAGGTTTTATCCCAACCGAGCAAGTCTGAAGTTTTAGTCTGTGCCCCCGATGTGTGAAGAAGTGTATTTCATGAAGGGCGTGCAAGGGGAGAGGAGGAATGAAGATGAAGGAATGATCGAGAGCCGCTTATGGCCCGCCGGGGCTGTTGTTCCTGTTTTCGCCTGGCATTCATCGGCGAAACCATGGGAACAGCCGATCAGAGCACCAGGTCGCTTGAAACAGAAGCGATTGGGGATTGTAACGGGGTTTATAATTACTCGTTATTTGCTTTATTGGCCGATACGTTCAAAATTTCGTCACCTGATAACAAACAAAATTGATGACAGAATGTTGCGAAAACAGCACGTACTTCCCCGCCCAATGTAAAGGTTAAGTAATATTTCCTCCGAACGTAACAAGTCAGTAATCTTTGGAAAACTCGTTTGAAATTGTAGAACATAAGGTACAAAAACTAATTGTTAGGTACTAAAACTAACTTACGTACAGCTATAATAAATCTCCAACCTTTGAGAAGGAATTTTCGGAATTCTCTACCACCGTTTTGCAGAGCGACGTGCAGAGTTGTCCTTTCCAATCTGGTATCGCCTGAGACTAGCAAATGGAGCACGAGAAATTCGAATTTGCGAGTTCAAAAATGCAAACTTACGCTAAACGGCTTACATTTTTTCAAAAATATATCTTTTTTAATAAATTGTATTTTAGAACATTTTATTTAACAAAAGTCTCTATCATCAGTATTGTACTTTTGCAAAGTTAATTTGTTGTTGTTGTTTGCAATTTTTGAAAGTACAGAAAGTTAGCTGAAAATGGGATCATCACCTTTTCCGTTGTAAGAGAAAAAATTTAAAGAAAATAATTAGAGACTTTTCTTAGAAAAAAATGTAATGCAAAATTACGCCAAAACTACCTACGTATACTATTATCGAAAATTTGAATACTATCTTATACGAAAATGTGAACAAATTTCCATCAAGAAAAAAATTATTCTCATTATTGTAGTTGTAGCAAGATCCTGAAAACAATTTTAACGATTGAAATTTTCAAAGAATCAGGGATCTTAATGAAAACGAGACCTACGGTAATAATTTAATATTTTTATAGCTGGGCCACCACTTGCGCGTGTTTGTATAGTGGTGTAGATGAAAACTGAATAGAGACCATACTTACAATTCAAAGTTTCTTATATTACGTTGTTTTCGTTAAGGGGATGCAATCCACAGTGTATCTTCTAATCGCACTTAATCCAATTTTCTTTACAGGTTGAAATCACACTCCTGAAGGGTGCCTAAAAGGGTTCTAGTGAAGATGAAATGCCCACACTTCCCTTTGAAAACGGTGGCAGCCTAACTGAGGCGCACTGGCAGCTGCCCTTTTGGCAGGCGATAATCTCCATTGTAAAACAATTCGGCAAGGATTTCCGATTTCACATTCGTATATTAACTAAACAAGGATCCAAATTTCTAATGGTGAAGATTTTGTTAGATGTAGGTTTAAAATGCTAAGTTTTAGAATCGCTGGATTCCAGGTATTCTTTACTTTACAGACCTGAGGCTCTTTACACGAACCATTGTACCTCATAAAAACGACTAAGTAAGAGTTAGTTTTCAGTATGTTCAAAGAATAATAAAACTTACTTATAATTATTACGATAAATATGTGTGTATATAATTAATATAAATTAATTATAATTACGATAAATTAAATTACTTGAAATAACCAAAACGGTGAGAGGGGTAGCTTTCTAAAATATTAGGAGATAACAAATTTCGAAAAAATATATAGATGTCATTATAAACGTTACTACCAATGGATTGCATGAAATTTAGGCAAAGACAGTCTAGATGTTTAGTAATAATGTATCTCCTTAGTCAATGGTCTTAACATTACACGTTCACTATAGAGAGGGTGTAATTTGAATGAAAAAATATAATTTGGGGTCTTACATTCCCACTTTACTTTTTCTTCATATTTAATAAAACTAGCTTGCAACATTAGTTTTATTATATTAAAATATGCATATTCATTAAATATTCACAATTCAACTCGTTAATATTTAACATTAAATTTTGTTTTGTTTTGAAATTCATTAACATTCGTCAATATCGGCAGTCCTATTATGAAACGATAAAAAGCTTCGCATGGATAATTTAACATATTTTTAGCATAAAAGGAACAAAAGGTAGAGACGTGGATAACATTACGTATTTAAATCATTTTTACACAATGAAATTTCCCAGTATTGCAATGTTCATTTATCTGTAATAACTCGAGGTTAATTTTCTCTGCTAAATACACAATGAAATTTCTCAGTATTGCAACGTTCATTTGTCTGTAATAACTTGAGGTGAATTTTCTCTGCTAATACAAATTCAACATGATCTCTCGCCAGTAATAATTGCGTCTATACAAAATATCGCAATGTTTGATGTGATATATCTTTCTAAGCAAATAAATTAGAAAACTGAGCGTGCGCTAAGGAACGCAACTATGCGAGTTCATTTTCACAGTCGAGGGCACGCCATTTTCAAGGAATTTAAGTCAGGTGAAACAGAGTATATCGCGCAAGGGTGATGTGCGTCAGGGTGGAAAAGTCGGGTGGAAGAAAGTGGGCGATGCAGAACGTCTTGGAAGCGAACAAACGCTGCTAAGGCAGCGCAAGAGAATTGCCAGAAGGGAAGAAGTGAATTCCACTGAGAGAGAAACAAATTCTTTCCAGTTATATAGGTTTTTCAAACACTGTGATAGTGCCTAGTTCTAAACTAGTGTCATATATTTCCTTGATAAATAAAAACGGTCAGTAAATGTGAAAGGTGGTGATGAGATTTACTTCATTTTAACTCCACTTCAATGAAATATCTGAATATCTCCTTTTTTATTTTCTTTCATTCTGAAGGAATACTATCCTACAAGTTAAGAAATATTTATGTCTTGAGACGAGACTAATTCCATGCATCCTATATTTTCTTTAAACAAGGTTTTTATTTAAAAGATTTTCGAATCTTCAAATTCCTTTACACTGTAAAATAATAAGGTGAAATAATACTGTAAAATAATGATTTTTAAGACCTCCCGGTCAACGACACTACACGAGTACCGACAAAATCACTATCGAACCATCGTAGCCGTTTACTGAACCGAAGAAAAATACAATATTAACTTACAATTTGTTTAAACAAGGTACCAGTACATATCGACCATGATATATTGCCTTTTCGTGTTTAAACCATGTCCTTCAGTAACGTGTGCTTGGAATATTGGAATTCAAAATATAAAATTTCATTATTTATTACTTAGAATAACCATATTAATATTTATGCAGTACAATTTCCTACTTCTTGTCACAATGACCCCCTATATCAATTGCGTGGTTCGCTACAAGTTTCGCTGCAATTTACTGAGTATAAAGGCGTAATAGTCCCTTGACTTCTGTGCAATAAATACAACTTTCTTTAAAGTTGATCGTTTTACCCAACTGGGTAAAATAAGCAAGTAAATAAATAAAACCGTCTGAATGTCAAAAAGTCATTGGAAATACCTTGACGTCGTTGTCGAGGTCCTGTGGGAAGGTGACTTTGCCAGAGTAAGCCGGGAGGCCGGAATCCAGCAAGCGTCGACGAAGATCAAAACGCAGCGTGTGCGCTCCTTGGTCATCGCATGCTAGAAACTCGCGGAGCACCAACTTGTAAGGGCCCTGCAACCACACAAGAGACGAGTGAATATGGATTTTAAAACACAAAAATAAAAACAATAATATACAATGCAAATGTAATGAAATTTGAACAGTAAATTAATGAAACATTAATAAATGAAAGTTGCGTCGTAACTTCAACAGTACATTTTGTTAAAAGACCCACACCGCCCTGCAACTGATTTCAGGGGCAAGCATATATGCAGCCATGTGTTCTGGAATCACCAATCAATCCCAAGAATTTACGTGACGATACGTCATTGAAAGTAGAAACATGGGCACTGGAAAAACACATGTCCGGAGATTTCAACAGCAAATTTGCGTACAGTACATCGTCTCTTCCAGTTTGAATCTGCGAAGACAGGCTCTAAAGCAGCCACTATTCGTCATAAACTGGTAAGAAAATGTATCTCGCCGTGCTCCCCACTGATCCACGATTCAACCAAATCATCAGTCGGTAGGCGTACCTTTTCTTGGAAGAAGTCCCATCGCTGCTGTAAATCTGCCAGTGATATCAACCAGTTTGTATCCCGTTACCTTTGCCATAACACCTCTACAGCGAGCAATTAGACTTGTAGGGGAAACCCTGTATCTCTCAGGAAATATCCCTATTTTCAGTCATGTTTTATGGAGATCCGAGAAAATTCATTATGAGTGGATATTGCAGTCTTGAAGGCAATGTCCTCGAGCTTAGGTGTTACCAATTGGGCTGATAGCGGGTATCAGTTCATCTCTGTCTGGTGACTGGTGGCATTATTTCTGGCTCAATTGGCTTTGAGATATTCTTCATCACCAGAGAGATGCGGGAATAAAGACGTGACAAGTGTAAAGAAGTATATTAAAGCAGGTTGGAAATTAAACTTGCACCTGATAATGTTGTATAGTCTAACCCACACATGTTTGTCAGGCTTCTGACGAAAAAAAATGTGTATTTTCTGAATTGCGATCTTCAACTGATTACTGGCCAGTGTATAGTGCCCTTTCAATTGAACAAAGGTCTCTTTGCTACGAGTTCACTAGTATAGATTCCTGCCTCGAAGGCAGTGACAAACCACTGTGAATCACTAGCAATTCGAACTCACTTTCTAATGACTTTCCGCTCAGATTTTGTCTCGATTGATTTTCGATTATTCTATTCATCTCTCCTTACACTTTTTTCTTTATGGTCACGATTACGCGGTGGCTTCATTTTCGTGTTCGCCGTTTGCAAGTTGTGGATTGTCAGATCACACCTGATGCTTTTCTCCTTTTCGGGCGGGGGAAAGGTGGCTCAGGGCATCAACTGATGGGATTGTGGTGTCTCCGACGGGGAGGTCCTGGGGTCCGAGTCCCGGCGGGGGCAGAATTTTTGACCCTGGCCAGATAACTAGGTCGGGATCTGTCGCTGTCTGGAGGAAATTCTATACTTCGGCGATATTTCCTTCCCATTCCTTGATCTTTGCTCCCCCTTTACACACACACGCTTTCACACTTGCCGGGAGACCGTTCGGGAGCTCGGAACGTGTCACAGCTGGGACGGTGCTCCGCTGGAGGGAGATACATTGTTGGGGAAACCCCGCTCGGCAGGTCGGGAACAGATCTCGTCATTCAGCGGGGGCAAGATCACCGCCACATTCCCAGCAAAAAACCATGCACTACGCTTACGAGACTAATGACCTTAGCAGTTGACGCTCCCGGAATTACCAGTAACACAGTGCGACAATGAATTTTCCGCAGAGCACAAACATGTGATTGTTATGTAGTTCAGTGCCTTGATAACACTGGTGAAAACCATTTTTCGCTATCACTAAACTTTCTTCTTGAAACGCGATTTTATGTGCGCTCAATTGCGATATTTATGTTGTCGCAGCGCATATCACATTCTGTTCTCTTTTAGGAAAATGATTGCCTAACGCTGGGGAAGAGAGGGGAGAGGGAGACAGCCACTGGGAATACATAATGGGAACGAGAAACCTTCGATACCAGTTGCCCACTCCGTTCAGTTAATGGAAACCTGCGAGAACAGGAGGCCACTCCTGAAGTATTTTGGCTATTCAATTCACAAATGGAAAATCTGTGATGATCTCAAAGTTCCGTGACTTTTTCTAAGAAAACAGACTGGTTACACAAACGATTGCTGTTTCTTGTGTCACTGGGAGAGTAGGGAAAGAAAGTTACGTATTCAAAAAGTTGCCTTTAAGAGAAATGATCAATCCTGGTGAAAAAATGTGTCGCATGAACCCCTTGTCAAAAAACACAGTATGGTTAAGAATTTTGAAATTAAACTCTATGAAGAATTTTTTGAAAGCAATGGACAAAGACGGCCCGAGTTTTCAATTTTTACTATCAAAATTTCCTGCGATTAGTAATTATAAAATTAAGAAGGAACTTTCATTAGGTCTAAGTTCCGTTACTTGATGAAAGATACTACCTTTGAACAATTGCTGACAGATACTGAGAAGGCAGCTTGGCAGAAGGCCATTGAAAGATGTATGCAACAATTGTTTGGGAAACGTAATGTCTGAGAATTACAGGGAACTAATGAAACACATGCTGGACAGTTACAAGGCTATGGAATGCAACATGTCTCTGAAATAGCATTTCCTTCATTCTCATTTGGATTTCTTCCCACCTACTCTTGGAGAGGTGAGTGACGAGAACATTTCACCAACGCAGCTGCAACGGGAAAACGATATAAGTGAAAATGGCCACCAAACCTTTTGGCGGATTTCTGCTGGACACTTGTACAAGAAGTTTCACCATTCATCCATAAAGTTTCCAGGAAAAATTTCTAACTTGTAAGTACATTTCAAGCTTTATTCAGATTTCCCGTACTGTTTTCATTTCGTGTTTCGTAATACCTTTTAATCGTTAGGAACTCTTAATCGTGGTAACACATTCGTAATAACAATTAATCGAATTATTGATTTCGCCATGAATTTTGTAACGAAGTTTCAGTGATCACAATATTACAAAGTACCTCCTTTTTACTTTCTCGCTACCACTAACGCAGAAGAGAGAAAAATGTGTAATGATACTCATGTATAAAACGGCGTATTTTCGGCAGGAAAATCTCTCATTATATCACTGTGGTAAAGAAAAAGTGGATAAATAAAGTTGGTAAATTGAGATAAAAATCTTCTACCATGTGGTGTAGCCAGAATCTATGTTTTGTGTGGGTCCTTGGTACCGAAAAATTGAATGGCGGCAAAACATGTGTCTGTCCGTCAGTCTGTTTGTCTGTTTGTCCTATCAGTGAACAAAATAAGTTGCTAAACCGTTCAACCGATTTTCTCCAAAACTGATATTACCCATTCAATCTCACTGATGTCGCTGTCTCTTGAATTTGAAACCGATATTTCACTTTACATAAAGCGCCTGGGACATTTTCAAAATTTTAAAAAATGGATTCCTAGTTTTTTATTAAATTTTGTTTTTGAATAGTATGAAGGACATTGAAGAGAAATGTAAGGGTCTAATTTTCGATATGAACTCTGATTTTTCGAAAATTACAAAATTTCAAAACTTTTTCGACATTTTCCAAGAACTACAATTATGAAGGTAGATATTTTTTCTTAATAATATATTTTTCTTAAAGATAGATTTTGAAATAAGGTCATATACAAGTTTTCGAAAATTTGAGTACTTTTTGCGCAATTTTGCGTGCGAGTACGACCGAGAGAGTACGTGCTCTAATACCACTAGTTCTTATCTTCACTTGTCATTACATATTACTTGTCATTACATGTCGGTCAGGTTTTTCCTCTCTGTTGCACGAGAATGTGTATTAGAGTATGTGACAGATGGAGAATGTGTGACAGATGGAGAGTGTGTGGAAGAGTGTGAAAGAGAATGTGAAAGAGAGAGTGTGAGAGGATATGGAATAATGTGTGGGTGAGTTTTTGCAGGAGTGTGTGTGAGATAGAGAGAGAGAAATAGGTCGGGAGAGAGAGAATGAGAGAGAGAGAGAGAGAGAGAGAGAGAGAGAGAGAGAGAGAGAGAGAGAATGTGAGTGTGACGTGGTGTGTGTGAGAGAGTAAGAGAAAAAGTGTGTGAGATTATGAGAGAAAGTGTGTGTGAGTGTGTGTGTGTGTGAGAGAGAGAGAGAGAGAGAGAGAGAGAGAGAGAGAGAGAGAGAGGGAGGGGAAGAGAGTAGTGCGTGGTTTTGATATGTGTTTATCTTCAGGAACAAATAGATTGACATTACTGAAAAATTCATCTCATTCAATCTCGTCATTGTGAGAATATTTTGCAGATATTCACAAGTGAAAGTTCCGAAAAAACAAACACTTCTGTTTGGCACACTTAAACTGGTACCAAAGGTACTAAAAAGGTAAAATTGGAAAAAAATAGAAAAAAAATAAGAGAGGTCTTAAAGAACGAAGGAGTGAAATAAGGGAAGATAATTGCAGAAAATAAGATGGAACCTATTGTAAAAGCAATTATTTGGAGAATCATATTACTGTTCCATTTTTCTTACCAAATATTAATGTTGTCTCTTTTTACATCGAAATTATCATAAATCCAGTTTTAGCTTGCAATTTTAACCGTAATAATTTTGTAAAAATTTATGTAATATATATTTATGTGCTTCCAAGTATTCGAGAGGAGGGAGTAGAATATAAAAAAACGCATAACAGCGCATTTATAAAATATGTATTTACAATTTGAAGTAATCACGAAAAACAAATATTCAGGTATATTTTTGACTGGCACTCTTAAAGAGATGTTCAGTGGCAGTTTATTCAATACGAGCATACTCATATCGTTTACGCCCGAACACAGTAGTATATTAATTTAAATCTGCTATATAAAATAGTTACGTCATCATTTATAACATGTAAAACTGTTATTTTAATAATATATAAATTCTAAATAAACTAAAGGTTCTAAAATTGGCGCAGACTTTCTCTTACTAGTTAGTTCCCTAATTTCTTTGGTCTGGGCTAGCTTTTCAGTTTTGGCTCACCTTCTTCCCAAATGCTATCTGTTACCGCCCAAACTATATTTTTTCACATTTGTTCAATTTTCAGTCCCCTAATAGCAGAACTACTATATGATTTTGGGAATATAATAGAAGAGTAAAACGTCGTCCTATTTGAATAATTTGAGGACGTTGAGAAAATGTTTAACCGTTTCTGTATGCGCGAAAATTGAAGCTTTTTTTCACAGAAAAATTTTAAGATTTGGAGAAACTTTGTTTGAAATTATTTGAAGCACATCAATTTACAAATTCAATAATATATAAATTACTAGTAATATAAATACTGACTGCTTGAGAGACATTTCAAAAAAATATTTCTATAAGCTTTGAAGAAATGAAAGAAAACATTCAAGTGGAATTAGTCATGTTACTTAGTCCACACAGCAATATCCATTCAAAACAAAAATTTAAAAAAATCGAAGCCGCTTTCGAGAAAATGACGCTTGTACGTTTCTCAAAATGCGAAATTTTGAGTTCATTTTCACAGTAAAGTAATGAGTTTTCGAGAAACTTTAGAAAGCATCATTTGAAGCACATGTTATCATAAATGCATACAAATTAACTTTGTAAATATTGAAAAGGA